TATAACTCACTGAATGTAATATAAACCATTAAACTGTATACTTTTTTTTTTTTTAATGTTTTATTTATTTCTAGGAGAGAGAGAGACAGCGTGAGCAGGGGAGGGTCAGAGAGAGAGGGAGTCACAGACTGAAACAGGCTCCAGGCTCTGAGCTGGCAGTCAGCACAGAGCCCGACGCGGGGCTCGAACCCACGAACCGCGAGATCATGACCTAAGCGAAAGTCGGACACTTAACCGACTAAGCCACCCAGGCGCCCCTAAACTGTATACTTTTAAATGGCTGAATTATACAGAGTGTGAATTCTCAAACTTGTTTAAAAAAAAAAAAAAAGTACAGGTGCTCGGGTGGGTCAATCAGTTAAACATCCAACTCTTGGTTTCAACTCAGGTTATGATCTCACAGTTTGCGTGATCGAGCCCCAAGTTGGGATTTGCACTGACAGTGCAGAGCCTGCTTGACATTCTCGCTCTCTCCCTCTCTAATAAACAAACTTTAAAATATTAAAAAGTTAAAACTTAAAAAAGGAGAGGTTGGGGTGCCTGAGTGACACCATTGGCTGAGCATCTGACTCTTAATTTTGGTTCAGGTCATGATCTTAGGGTCATGGGATCGGGCCCCGTGTTGGGCTCCACATGGAGTATGGAGCTTGCTTGAGTTTCTCTCTCTTTCTCTTTCCATTTGGTCCTCTCTCCCACTTTCCCTTTCTCCCTCTCTAAAATAAGAAGAAAGTTAAATAAATAAAAAGCAGAGACTGATTACTTACAGGAGATATTGAGCAAATAAATACTGAGGATAATGAATCTGGAGACATTAAGTATGAGCTAATGCTTTTAATATACACATGTAGCTATTAGAAATACATATTTATGTGTACATGTACTCATAGATATACATGTATTTTTTAAATGTTTTATTTATTTCTCTGAGAGAGAGAGGCAGCGTGAGCAGGGGAGGGTCAGAGAAAGAGGGAGACACAGAATCGGAAGCAGGCTCCGGGCTCTGAGCTAGCTGTCAGCACAGAGCCCAATGTGGGGTTCGAACCCACAAACCGTGAGATCATGACCTGGGCCGAAGTCAGATGCCCAGGTGCCCCTACATGTATTTTTAAGTTTTATTTATTTGAGAAAGACAGACACAGTGCAAGTGGGGGAGGGGCAGAGAGAGAATCCCAAGAAGACTTTGTGCTTCAACCATGACCTGAGCTGAAACCAAGAGTCGGATGCTTAACTGACTGAGCCACCCAGGCGCCCCGACATATATTTCTTAGCTCTGTTTGCTGAGTGGGCCTAGAAGCAACAACATCCTAGAGGAGAAAGTACACATAATGCCCAGACTTGGTTTCTAAATACCATTCTCCACTGAAAGAAAACCAGGGGTTCCTGGAGAAATGGCAGATTCCAGGGTTATCCAGGGAAGAGTCAGGAGAACACAGGATCAGCCTAGAGCATCTTTTTTGTCAAAATCTGGACAGTAAGTGCTTACAGAAAGAAGTGAATGCCAACATCATCTTAAGCAGGGGATAAACGTTACCACGGATAATGGAAAAAACTGACATCGTGCACCTCCTAATGTTATGCAGCAAAAAGAATAGATCAACGGTAGTCCCCTCAAAAATGTATAAATCAAAGGGTCGTTAAGACAAGTCCGAATAGCAAGGCATTTCCACAAAGTAATTTCGACTCTAAAAACGTTAAAGCCATGAAAAGACAAGGAGAGACTAAATACAATGTGTGATCATGAATTAGATCCTGGTTATTATTGGAAGAAAAGGTGAAACCTGAACAGGGTCTGCAGATTAGATTTGGATCGACAATAATTTCCTGATTTTGATGATGTGATTGATTATATAGAACAATGTCCTTGTTTCTAGAAAATCTATATTGAAGTATTAAGGGATAAAAAGATACCAACTAAAATGATTCAAAACACAAAAACTCAGTAATAGGGGGCAAGAGTTGGGGGCACTGTGGGAGTGAAAAAGATTAATTTTACCACATTAGTCAAATGGTAACAGTTGGAAAATCTGAAATCTGAGGAAGGAGTGTATGGGAACTCTTTGTACTATTTTTCTAACCATTTTGTAAACTTGAAATTATTTTAAAACTATCGCATTTTGCATTTTTTAATGTGGTTTTTTTTTTTTTTTAATTGAGAGAGAGAGACAGCAAGCACGTGTCAGGCAGAGGAGGGGCAGAGGGGGGACAGAGGACTCAAAGTGGGCTCTGCCCTGACAGCAGACAGTCCGATGTAGGGCTTGAACTGTGAGATCATGGCCTGAGCTGAAGTCAGACACTTGACCGACTGAGCCAGGCATCCCTAAATTATTTTCAGTTTTAAAAGGCAAAAACAACTCTAAAAAACTATCACCAAAATGCTTTCTAAGGAGTCTATGGAGGGGAGCCTCAGTAGCTCAGTTGATTAAACATCTGACTCTTGACTTTGGCTCAGGTCATGATCTCATGGTTTTCTGGGTTTGAGCCCCACTTTGGGCTCTGTGCTGGCAGCAGGAAGCCTGCTTGGGATTCTTGGTCTCCCTTGCTCTCTACAACCTCCCCCACTCATGCTCGCTTCCTCTCTCTTTCTCCCTTGAAAGAAAATAAACTTTTTAACATGTATCCTATGTTCTAGACATTGTCACAGTACTAGAGGACAGGGAAGACTAAAGCAGGGTCCCTGGTTTCAGTGTGCTTACAGCGAAACTGGAGAAAGATACAGAAACAGATCATCACTGGACAGTGTGATAGATCCAGCAGCAACACGGAGAATTTCAGAAATCTGCATGTCTGGACAGAAAACATAACCAGGGGGTGCCTGGGTGGCTCAGTCAGTTAAGTGTCCGACTTCGGCTCAGGTCATGATCTCACAGTTGGTGGGTTCAAGCCCCACGTCGGGCTCTGTGCTGACAGCCAGCTCAGAGCCTGGAGCCTGCTTCAGATTCTGTGTCTCCCTCTCTCTCTCTGATCCTCCCCTGCTTACACTGTCTCTCTCTCTCTCTCTCTCTCTCTCAGGAATAAATAAAACATTAAAAAAATTATAAATAAATAAAAGAAAACAGAACTAGGAGGAAAAGCTTTCTTTAAAGGAAGCAGCCTCTGAAAGAAGTCTTGAAGGGAGAACTCCCCTAGCAGGGGAAGTAGAAGAACGACATTCCAACAATGAGAACCAATGGGTGGCCAGAAGTCGCAAAATGTTGATGCTGATGGGTGGCAGCTCACAGAGCACAGACAACAGAGAAGGCCAAAGCAACGGCCATATTACAGAGTTTTTACCCTAAGCTGGGCAGCTTAATGAAACCTTAGTGTTTAGGTGAAGAAGAGCTACTACCGGCTTTGATGTGCAGGAAAGACAACTCAATATTCACTTCAGGTCAGAGAGCAGCAGACCAGACAACAGAACTGGGAAGCATATGAAGCTATTGTCCTAGTCCGGGTGGGAAAAGATGAACGGCCGGACTAGTGCAGCAGGAATCAGAAAGAAGAAAAGGACAGATGCCAGACTTTTAAGCAGCAGCCCCCTGAGCATCTCAGTAATATTTTCACAGCACTTCAAGGTCAAAAGAATACCCAAAGTTAGGTAGTTGGGTCCAACAACTTAGTAAGTCCTCAGGTCCTAACCCCTTAGTGCATGCTGGACGCTGCACCACTCCTCCAACGTTACAAGTGATTGGTTACATCACCCTGCTCTCTCCTTCCCGGGTTATTCTGGTGCGATGCTGGCTCTTTAACACAGGAACCGCTAAGACAACTCTCGATAAAGATATGAGGTCCCTGAAAGGAATGGAGCAACAGGACGTTGATACTGTGAATACCTCCAGTTCATGGGATGTCTGAGAGAGGTCTCCTCTGAAAAATCCAAACTATCCCACAATGCTCCCCACTGGGAGTTTGCCACAACGCCCTGGTGTGCCTCAGTGCACAGTTTGGGAACCATGGACAGAAGCCATATTGGAGGGGTAAAAATGAGGGTTGAAAAACTGACTGGATGTAGGGAGATAAAAGGTCTCCCAGATCTCAACTCAGAGTTCTGGGTGAGGAGTGGACCCAGCCAGTGACAAGGAACACACAGGAAGGGGAAGACCAGGCTGCAAAGTCTTCACGGGTAACGATGCAAAAGGAAAAAATGATTCCAAGTACTGTCTACCTACTGTCTACAAATGTTCAAAAATACACTCTCGCTTCATTTAGTTCAAGGATTGTACAGGCAGTGAATGAAACCTCATACCCAGAGATCTCTTGGAATCAAATGGATTGGAGGAACATCTTTTGGCCACACCACACACGAGGTTTCCAGGCCTCACACCAATGCATGATGCTTTGTTGTAAAGTAAATGGTGTCACGCATCCGCAATGTCCCTCCTTCCCCCTACTGAATACCTGACAACAGTAACTGCTGCATAAATACGGTCTCTCCAGTGTCGACTCCTCCTGTGATTCGCATACACGTGAGGATCTATCAACACCAAACACAGGGTCGGAAACACCTGGAGCAGTCACGGGCCCTTCAGGATGGCAGCGCTGCACAGACAGTGGGCAGTCACGTCTCCTGGAGGCTGCCTCAAGTCTCGTCTGCCTAGCAACGCAGAATCTTAGGACCTTGCAAAATGCGTACAGGATGACATAAGAGGAACAGAAGACTCCATCCTTTGGGCTGTTCGGTATAACTCACTACTATCACTGTAAAACAGGAGCTTCAAGCACTTAATGTGAGCCAAAACTAGACGGCTCTGAGGGCAGCGCTCTCAGTGCGATGCAAAAGGCTCTTCCTTAAAAGACAGAGGGTGCTCATGGTGGGGGCGGGGAGGGTAATGACCATCAAATACAAGTCAACCATCAACACTAGAAAGCAGTAAATATTCAAAGAAGAAGTCCCCCAATACATTCCTGTGGCCCTCAGCTTAACAGATATAGATATTTCACGTTGAGGAAAGAGAAAATGAAATTTAAAAATGAGCAACCTCCACTTCCCGAGAACTAACCAGGAACATCTAAAGGACGCTCACCAAGACACTTGAAAGGTATCACGATGTGACTCTTGCACTGCTTTTTGTCCCTCCGGCACCAATTGTCAACACTGACCGGCTCATTTGCTTCCATCACATTTGTGATCTGTAGCTCTGGATACGTCTGCGAGGGAAAAGAAAACACACACAATAAATTTACTTTATCCATAATAAATGGGCATTCATCTCCAAGTAAGGACGGGTGTCCGCTTACTCAGCGTCATCATTATCCTGTATAAATCTAAGCCTCCACTCGTGCTGCCCCTGGTTCTGACTGAATCATCAAGTAAAAAGATACTGTAACTATTTTCTTTTATAGGTAGATTTCTGATCACTTCTAATGCATTCTTTAAAAAAAAAAAAAAAGGCAACTTTATTTAAGGACATACAAAAGCAGCAAGCTTTCAAGCCCAAAATAAATCGATGAGGTATCAAGCCCACTTGTAGGATGCATGAAATAGCTGAGAAGAAAAACATTTAAAGGGCAAGTCCGTGGAAAGGTCTGTTGTTGAGATTATAAAAGAATACTTCAATGCTGGCCCTCTGTGCTAGTCCTGGGAAAATGTTAAAGCATCTCATACCCCTTTCTAGGTCAAGTGGAGTCAGACCTGAGATTATAATTTACAATACTGGAGGCTGTCTATGAGCAAGCGGAGGGCACAAGATACACACGTTTGGCTTCCCATCCTCCCACAGGAAGTGAGAAGCCAGGAGAGCCAGGCTTTACTTGTACAGTACCTGCCCAGCTTCTGCACTGTTCCCTCCTCAAGGAACCAAGAGCTCACTTTGCATACGGGTAGAGCTCCTGACAAGTCTCAGTTAGGTCTTATATATTTAGAAAGAAAACGCCTGGTGCTTCGTCATTGGCAATGTGGTCTTAGGTCAAAAAGCACAATGACAGAGTATCTATTTCTAAGGTAAGGAGGTTCAAGCTTGACACATAAAAGAGCAGTTTTCACATTCTGGCACCCTCTTACCTCCTGACAGTACTGAAGAACTTCCTCTTTTGTTCCAAAGCAGCTCTTGGTGCCTGTTGGGTCAGGTTCCCATTTCCCAGTCTGAATGTTCACATGCATATTTAACTTCCCACAAAACATTGCAATTTGAGGCTCGGCAACAGCAAATCCTGTTCCGGCGTTGGCTGCAAGAGCCTGACAAAGGGGAAAACATCCAGGTTTACTCCAGAACAGCTGACACAAAGGTAGAGTCATCCCATGGTTTGTGACAGTAGAACTTTTTAAAAACCTCATTATTTACTATTTTTATCTTCACAAACAAAGCAATGTCCCAGGAGTTAAGCCAGAAAAAAACAATGACCACTGGACTTCTATGATCAAAGCGAAATGTCAATGGAAAAAATCTACCCCCCACTTCCCATCAGAGTACTTTGGGCTTGGGAACCTATAATCCAGCTGCAGACTGCTCTGATAGAAACACATCTACTGTTCATCCTTTAGTAGATCAAACCACAAGCAGAAAGGCTAAAGTTCCAGTGATTCACTCACACAACAAAATTTTGTTGAGCAGCTACTATCTTGCAAAGCAACATGCTAAATGCCTAGGACACAAGAGTGAGCAAAAACTTATGGTCCCTGCTCTCATGGAGCTTACAGTCTAGTGCAAGAATGCATACTCACACATAAAAAAGTGTGATCACACTCCTAGAAGTCATACAAAGGAAAGAACACAGTGCCAAGGCAGCGTACAGAAACGGAATTTGACTGAGGCTTAGGTATGGAGGTGATAAGGGAAGTCTCCGGAAGACAGCAGCACAGGAGAGCATCCCGTGGCGGGCATGTAGACTGAGAGGCAAACAGCAGTGAGAAAAGGGAGGAGAGCCATCCAGGGGGAAGGCTAGACAGTGTGCGCACCAAGAAAAGACTTCCATCTTTATCACTGAGATGCTGAGAGGTTTTTGTTTTTTGCTTTATTTTGAGAGAGAGAGAGAACGAGCGAGTGAGCATGAGTGGGAAATGGATGGAGAGACAGGGAGACAGAGAATCTCAAGCAGGCTACGTGCTGTTAATGCAGAGCTTGAAGCGAGGCTCAAACTCAAGAACTGTGAGATCGTGACCTGAGCCAAAATGTGACAGCTGGACACTCAACCAACTGACCCACCCAGGTGCCCAGAGGTGCTGAGAGGTTTTAAGCACAAAGTTAATACTGTCAAAATGCAGATGTGATACTTTTGCTGGCTGCAGGATGGCAAAGAAATTCTGAGAAAGAGAGAGAGGGAAATTGGTATCTTGGGCTAAGGCAGCACAGTGGAGAAACAGATGAAAGCTATCAGACAGCCCAACTGGCAAGACTTGGTGACAGATTAGCCAGGGAACTGAGGAAGAAGATGTCAAGCATGGCTTCGTTACTCAATGAGGGAATGGCGTCATTCTGTCATTCGTGGAAACAGAACACTAAAAGGGATTTCACTAACAATTGTATCTTGCATTAAATAAAAACAATCAATGATTCTACAGTCTTTCTTTAGCTAGTATCCTCTTCTTTGTGAAAAGATCACAGCCATTAACAGCTCACAAATTACAGGTGAGAAAATAACCTTTAGGCATGATGGAGGTAAGGCTCCTACAAAGTCTCCTGGTGCAGAAAAAACACAGGCATCCTAGCATCTAGAAGAATGCTAATATTGATGGTTGCATCCACAATGGAGTTTTTGTGTTCTCCCCTAATGGTAAAGTTCTTTCAAAATAAAAAAAATAATTTTTTAAAGTGTTAAAACTTCACAGACTGTATGGTCTGTCATGTTGCTCTTTTTAAAAAGAGTAATTAACATAAAATGGTTGTCCTATTAACAGAAAAGGGAGCTTTGCCTTTCATAATATATGGAAAATATGTGCTTTCCAAGCAACTCTCATTTATTTGTGCTGATGGACTTAGACATTAATGGCCCTTCTAATCAGGAGACTATATTTGATTTTGAAATACATTATGACCTTTCTTCAGGAAAAGTTTACCATCCTCCACATATTTTGCTTACAAGCTTATTGAAATAAGCCCGCTTTCTACCAGTACAAGAGAATGAAGCACAGACACTCATTAAATAGCTAGGAGAACACGAATTTGGGATGAAAATATTGCCAGGATCAGTCAGAGTTGAAGAAACACCTCAATTAAATCCAATGAAGAGAACAATTAGCAACTTTATTAAACGGAACTGACTGTAGCCCTACTGCGACGAATAATCATTTATTAAAATAAAAGGCAGATTGGTATGCCTTCCACGTAACTGCATATGAATCTACAGGCTGATAAGGAAAAGAAAGTATTTCAGGATAGCTGTAGAAAGGAACACACACTTATTTACAGGCAATACGCCAACAGTACTTTAATTCAAACCAGTCATTAAAAGGTGTAAAGATATACAAGACCATTGCGTTTATTTCTCACAGTGAGTTCAATATGTGTACCAAGATGCCTCTTCTATGGGCCATTCTTCTTTTGAGAGCCACATCTAAGGATTAAGGCTATAATTTTAGATTATGATATGGAAGAAAATGGGTATGTATATATATAAATGGGTTAATACAGAGACAAAGGCAAAGAAACCCCAGGGACACTTTTACCTCCCCAAACCAGTGTTTCCCTAAGTCCTTTCCCTCTTACTTCAAAAGCCCAGACAGAAATAAAGAAAATTGAGGAAGACATGGTAAATATATAAGCAAGAAAGCCAAACCAATAGGTCAAAAGAAAAGTGTTTCCTAAACCTGCTAACTGAACCACCACAGTTAAATCTAAAAGATGTTGTTCAGAGCAGCACTCTCCACAATAGCTAAAACATGGAAAGAGCCTAAGTGTCCGTCAACGGACGAATGGATCAAGAAGATGTGGTTTATCTATACCATGGAATACTACATGGCAATGAGAAATAATGAAATCTGGTCATGTGTAGCTACATGGATGGACCTTGAGGGTGTTATGCTGAGCGAAATAAGTCAGGCAGAGAAGGACAAATATCATGTTTGCACGTATAGGAGGATTAGGAGGAACTTGACGGAGAAACAAGGGGGAGAAAAAGGGGGGAAATGGTGGGGGAAGGAGAGAGAGGCAAACCATGAGAGACTCTTGAATGCTGACAAAAACTGAGGACTGATGGATGTGGGGGGGAGGAGGGATGGGCATGGAGGAGGGCACTTGTGGGGATGAGCACTGGGTGTTATTTGGAAACTAATTTGACAATAAACTATTTGTAAAAAAAAAAAAATCTAAAAGATGTTGAGCAAGAATTCATAAATTCTCTTTGGTTTTGTATAATTTTTTTAAGATTTTATTTTTACTTTTATTTTTAATATTTTATTTATTTTTGAGAGAGAGAGAGAGACAGCATGAGCAGGGGAGGATCAGAGAGAGGGAGGGAGGCACAGAATCCGAAACAGGCTCCAGGCTCCGAGCTAGCTGTCAGCACAGAGCCCAATGCGGGGCTCGAACCCACGAACCGCGAGATCATGACCTGAGCCGAAGTCAGACGCTTAACCAAGTGAACCACCCAGGCGCCCCAAAGATTTTATTTTTAAGTAACTCTGTACCCAGCATGGGACTAGAACCCATAGCCCCGAGGATCAAGAGTCGCTGGCTCCACTGACTGAGCCCACCAGGAGCCCCTAGCTTTGTGTATTTTAACATTAAAAGCAGCTATTAAACAAACAGGATTTCGGGTGCCATAGAAGTACTGGGGGAGGTGGAGCGGGGCAATACCTCTTAAACTCCATACATGAATTCAGGTAAGAAACAGTGGCAATTAGTTACGTGAGCTCACCAAAGCCACAGACGTGGATTGGTCAAAACTGTGCAGGCAGCCATTTATCAGCACCAAAGATCATGTTCCACATGTTACTCATTACGGTTGTTGGCTAAAAGACCACAAGAGTTCCAACTGTATAAATGTTCAGTTTATGGGTCAACCACTAAGGTCAATACATCAGTGATGAGTGCATTTGATCTTTGTGCTGAGATGGTCAGCATCGCCTTCCCTAAAGAGAATCTAAAATACCAGAGGTTAAAGCAACAGGAAGAGGCCTGAACAGCAGCAGCCCCTCACATCAGTTACCACCAAGAAAAAGGAGAGTAACTGGAATCATTCCAGACAGCTAATATGCTGCAGTGATTCACTTTTGAGTTCAGAAAGATTAATCCTTGTGGTCATAAGAGACTCTCAAGAAGGTATCATCTGAAATATAAAAAGCCTCTGTGGACCGTGTCTAGGAATCAACTAATCAAACATACCCCAACCTTACCTAGGGTATAACAGGATCGGGTTTTTTTCTGTGATGTTTCTACTTCTTTCCTTTGAAAATGCTCTTATTTAATGCACTTCCATTTTCTTAAGCACACACTACGCCTGGATCCATTACATCAACGTATAAATCAATCTGTTTCCTAATCTAACATGTTACAAATGTGATTTCACTGCCAAGTCAGCACTTCTGATATCCTGTGAACCTGGAATCTTCGATGAAAGAAAATTACTGCCCCACGCTTTGGCACTTAAGCCGGTCCTTGTGAGCTGTGCACATCGCAGCACTTTTAAGGCTTTGAAAACAAATTGCATCCACTGCTTCTCTAGCCCAGTGCTTCCATTTTACTTAATAATTCATTCTTAATAAGAAATTCCATTTTATTAATTTGGCTCAGGGAAAAGAGCTTAGCTATCCAAGGACAGAAATTTAACTTGGTAAAAAGTGCTTCTAGTAACTTGGTTGACAACCTGAAATGGCTTAAAGCAATAAGTAAATAAATATAAGTACATCTAAATCTGAGCCTAACTTCAGTGAGGACCTTTAGTCATCATCTCCAGAGCTACAACTCCTGGGCCCACCTAAGCCCCACCTTCCTTCAACAAAGGGGCTCAGGACCAATGCAGCGCACCCAGTACAAAGTGAAACACAAGCCCATTATTTCCTTCCTCACTGTAACTCTTACCCCAGAATCTAATTTGGCTCCGGGGTTTGGGAAAGTGCCTGCTGTGGAGGGAGCCTCGTCTAAAGAGGACAGTTTTATCCTCTTACTGAGTGAATCATGTTTCCTTGGATAGGAAGGTGCCGTGTTACAGCCAGGCAAGCGTTCCAGCTAACCCTGGGAAGGCAAGGTAACCCAGTTCCACCCTAGTGCTCATAGATACTCAACGGAGCACAGCTTCGCA